AAACACCCCCCACCCCGCCCCCGGCATGCTGCCTGCCACCATGTCCCACACAGAGGCCCGCCGCCCTGCACCTGTGCCCACCCCCCCACACACACCTTGACAAACTCCTCAGTGCCCTTCTGGCGGAAGGTCCACTCCGTGAAGGTCTCGGCGGTGGTCTCGCTGCGTCGCTTGCAGGAGATGCACAGAATTTTGAAGGTCATTCCGTACACGGCCTCGGTCTCTGAGTCCACCTCCACGCAGCCCCCCCAGGCTGAGGACACTGCAGGGACAGCAGGCTCAGGTGGAACAGGGGCGCCCAGCACCCAACACCAGGCTTGCTGGCTCTTGGCTCTCCGGCCTCTCGGAAACCATCTGTTTCCCCTCGATAATGAATACGAACGGACAGAACCAGATGCTCAGCCTGGCCCTGCCACTTGCTGTGTGCCCTTGGCAAGTCCCTCATCACCTCTGGCCTCAGTTTCCCGCAAACGGTCATCTCTGCTTGGAGGGGTCGCTTGGCAGATTCCAACAGTGAGGTAAAGCCCCAGCAGGGGGCCTGCCACGCAAGAAGCCCCCCACCCACCCAAACAACATAGGGCTGTCACTGTGGGAAGTAACTCAGAATCTTTGCTCTGTAGCTAAGTAGACACCCATGTACCCCTTCTTAGGAAGTCCCCCCTGCCCATGGTACCGCAGCATTTAGGTGGTGGAACTAGAATTCCAGATGTGCTAGAAGTTCAAGGGGACAGAGTCATTTCCCTAGCCCCAGAGAAGGGGTTGGGAGAAGGCAAGGCCTCAGAGGGGTTGGGGGGTGCTGGAACCAGGGCAGCCCCACACTCCAGCCCAGCTCTCCAGTCCCCCAACCCCTACCCAGCTTCTCTGGCCCCTGTTGCCCTGCCCCCAGGCTCCTCAGTTCCAGACCCCTCTCCCACCTCCTATCAGCTTCTTGAAACACACTGAGCTCTTTGCAGCCTCAGGGACTTTACACCCCCCACTGGATTCCAGTCCCCTTGGGTGCCTCCTCCGTATTCTCACCTGCCTCCCCCTTCCTCAGCCCCAGCGCTCACCAGATAATGCTGAGCCTCTCTGGCTCCAGCTCCGGGTCTGTTTCCTTGTCCCTGAGTCTCTCCTTCTGTGAATCTTGGGAACTCCTTGTCTTCCTCCGCTGCTCTTTCTAACTCCTTGAACACTTCTGTGTCTGTCTCCCTTACTTCATATCCCTTACGGAGTCTGTACCACTTTGTGTCCTCTTTCCAGGCTCCGACGGCCTCTCCCGGTCTCTCTCTCCACCTTTCCCTGTCCCTTTTAAACTCCACCTCTCCCAGTGTCTACCTGTGTCTCCGTCTCTCCTGCCTCTCTCAAGTTTGTCTCTCCGGCGCTCCCATTTCTAACGCGCTTCTCGGCCTCTCTCTGGCACACTCTACAACCTTCTCCGTCTCCTTCTCCCCCGTTATTCCCGACTCCCAGTCTCGGCGGAGCGCTCCGGAGTACTCGGAGTCGCTGCGCCTCTCGCGCCTTCCCTTGCGTCCCCATCTCTCCCTGTCTCTCGGTCTCCCCCGTCCCAGTCTCCGGGCGCCGCCTTCCCCCACCCCCTCCCGCGGCTGTGGGTGTCACATTGCAGCCTGCGGGGCTCCGGGAGCAGCTGACTCCGCGTTTCCTCGCCCCCGGCTGGGCGCCCGCAGCCGCCGAGCTGTGCCAGCCCGGCCCCCGCCCGCGCTCGCCCACCGGCACCTCCACCGCCCTCCCCCGCCCCGCTCCCCGCGCTCACAACTTCGGAAGCACACTTAGCCGGGCCGGGGAGTGGGCCGCTGGCGGGGGGGGCAGCCCTCCGCCCGCCGTCCCGGGTCCCACGCGCTCACCCCGCCCCCGGGCCGCTGCCTGGGCCGTGCCCCCCGCCGCGCACCTCCCTGCCCCGCGCACTCACCCAGTGCCGCGCCGACCACCAAGGCCAGCAGTGTCCCCATGGCTGCGCGGCGCGCGCTGCGCCCCCCTCCCGGGCCGCCGGTATTAATAGCGGGGCAAGAGGCAGCGGGCCCGGGCGGTGGTTAGAATGTCCCCGGGAGCGCGCGGGCGCAGCAGCTGCGGCTCTGGGACCGGCGAGGGGGGGCGGAGGGGGGGCGCGGCCCCCCCGCTCCGGTTACCGCCGGGGGCCCAGCCCCGGGGCCCGGCGTCCGGGCATCCCCGCCGCGCGGGCGGCGGCCGCTGCTCGGGCTGCTGCGCTGGCGCGCGCAGCCGGGCGCATTCGCCAGGTGCACCGACCCCGGCCCCGCTCCGGCTCGGGCGCGCTGGGGCGCGGGCCGCGGTCTCCTGCGCACTGCAGCGGCGGCGGCGGCGGCGGCGGCGGCGGCGGCGGCCCGGGGAGGGAGGAGGGAGCGGGAGGGGGCGGGATGAATCACCGCGGGGGGAGGGCGCGGCCGCCCAGCCTTTGCCGCAGCGGCCCAGGAGGCGCCCGCTGCACCGGCCTCTCCGGGTGGCGCAGGGGCCGCGGCTTTGGGGCATGGGCGGATGGCCTGGGTGTCCCTGACCCCTCCCGACTCTGGGGACCCCCAGCATCGGAGTCTGGAAAAGGTCACCTCCAGAGTCACGGAAGGGCTTAGAGGGCGTTTGGGGGACAGGGCTTCCGACTTCAGTTTATGGAGGTCATCCTCGTGGGATGGAGGGGGACTCGGCTCGGACCTCCGAGTGACCTCCCCTTCAGCTCCCTGACATCCGGGGCTGGAGGTCACTGTGCTGGAACCCAAGTAGGCATTAGGTGGGGGTGTCAGGCTAGGGCACCAAGAATACTTCAGACTAGCAGCTGGGACGTGCTAGATCTAGACCAGAGACCCTGCTCTGGGGGCCTGGCGGTACCATGTTTCAGGAGGAGGGTCCCTGGTCTCTGATGTTACCCCCCACCACCACTGTCCAGGCCCCTGCTGCCGGTTCTCAGCGCACCAGACTTATTTCTGCCTCAGGGCCTTTGCCCACCCTGTTCTTCCCTCTGCCTGGACCACTCTTCCCCCTGGTAACAAAAAGGCTCACTCCCTCTTCTCCCACAGCCCTTGGCTCCAATGTCACCTTCATCAGGTGTTCTGTCCATTCCCAGGAAACTGCCTCCCCTGTCCCTTACTTGACCAACTTTATTCATTTCGTTTTTTTCCACCACAGTTGTCACTGACATTATACTCTTCCTTTATATATATCTTCCTCCCAACGCCTGGCCCTCCAGCCCTGGACTACAAAGAGGCCCCCAGGTGAGGATACCATCCCGTGCACCACTGTGTTCCCAGCACCTGTTACTATGCCTGGCACGTTATAGATGCTTGATAAATATTCATCAAGTGAATAAATGCCAACGGTAGAGCCCTTCCGATACGCCAGATCCATTTCTCCCCCCCCCCCATCATGGGCAGCAAGTTCTATTATTATCCCCATTTTACGGAAGAAGAAACTGAGGCTGAGAGTGCCTCATGCCCTTGCCTAGGGTCATGTAGCCAGCCTCAGGTGGGTCTGGGATCCTGCCCCAGCAATGCTGGAGTGGAGAGGTTGGGGGTGTGGGCTCTGGGCTGTCAGGACCCGGATGGGAGTGAAAGTTCGGGCTGGCTGCTCAGGTCCTGGCCTCCAGTTCTGGGTGCAGTGAAGTTCCAGGATCCCCCTGACCCAGTCCCGCTGAGCAAGAGGAACCAGGGTGTGGGGCAGGCTTGGGGCAGAGAAACAGGAAGCCGGGGACACTGGACACCTTTGTGGTCTGGGCCTCTGTGCCAACACTTCCTGGGCTGTGAAATTGCCTTGCAGAAAATAACTCTTGCTGCACTGAGCCCTCCCCCTAGAAGTGGCAGTGAGGACAGGCCTTAGGCACTGGGCAAGGGCACCCACTCACAGCCTTACAAGCTGGTGTTCACTGAGCAGCTACCGTGGGCTTGGTGCTGTTCTCAGCACTTTACTAATATTAACTGCAATTCTTCCTACAGGGTGGGTTTTGTCACTATTCCCAGTTAACAGGTATGGGAAACGGAAGCCCAGAGTAGGTAACTTGCCATGTTCACACAGCTGGAGGGGAGGCTGGCTTGGCCCTTTGCCACTCGTGGTCCCTCCCACCTCCATCCAACCCCCTCCCTACAGTCCTCTGTCCCAAGCCATTTATTAAGAAGTTTCTCACAGCCTGTGACATGTCAAAGGTCTCTCCTTATCTCTCACTCACTCTGCTACCAGAATAGCGTTGAGTGAGACACACCTGGGTTCTACCTGGACCAGAGACTTGGCCTCTAAGCCCACTTCCTCATTGGCAAGATGGTTCCAGATGGCCTCAACCTGTACAGGCCGTGGTAGGGTCCTGCAGGGGACAGGACCCTGCATCTAAGTGTGGAGACACCAGGGACAGGCCTGCAGTGGCCTCAGACACATACCTATCTGCCTCCCCCCATCTCACGGAGTCACCATGAAACTTAAACGAGCACCAGACCTTGCCACAAAGTCTGGTCCCCATTTGGTGCTTACTACAGGAGTCACTTTCCTCTCCCCCCCAATTCTTCCACGGTGAGAGGAACATCAGCTGAATACTCACTCTACGCCAGGCCCCGCTGTGAGGCGCCACACTCATTAACGTAGCGCTTGTCAGAGTGGCTCGTGAAGTGGGATCCGGGGAGCTTGTCGGAAGTGCACACTCTCAGCCCACCTCAGAGCTGCTGACTCAGAAACTCAGGGGGGTGTAGGACTATTCACTTCTAAGAACCCCGGGAGACAAGTGCTGCTTTTAACGCCCATTGTACAGAAGGGGAAACCAGGAAGCTCAGAAGGCTTGACCTGGGTTATGTGACCGCTAAGGATCAGGGGTAGGATCTGAACCCAGGCATCCAGGCATCTGTGTCTGCCCTCACAGTCCTGACACTGGACCCCGAAGACACAAAGCCTGTGGAAGATGCTGAAGAATCCCAGATCGTGTGAGTGACTCGGGCCCCCGGAAAATGGACAGATTCCCCCTTCCAGCGCAACAGGAGACCCCCGCCCACTCCCGGGGACCCTGCAGGCACAGCCACAGCTGTTTCCAACCCTTTATTGGGGCTTTCCGTCGGCCCCAAATAAATATAATACATTAAACCCAGAGCTGAGGGAATCGTGCACCCCAGAGGCGCCCCCCACAACCCCAGCTGGGCAAAATAAGTTAGCGGGGGGCCAGGCCAGCTCCCTGGCTGGGCCGGTGATGGCAGCTGGACTTGCACACGCTGGTCTAAAGTGCATCTCCGTTCTGTGGTCCCCATGTCTGTGTGGCCCCTGGCTGGGCCACGGGGAGGGGTGGGCGGGAGGCTCCCGGCGCTCACACCGTGCCAGCAGTGGCCACCGAGGCTCTGTGTCCGTCTGTCCATTAGGGGGGTCGGCCATGGGGCTGGGGTTCCTCAGGAGAAGCTGTCATCAGGCCGTGGCTGGGAGTCGAAGGGAGGGTCCGAGACAGTGATGCCTTGATGCAGCTTCTCCAGCGAGAACTTCATCTGGGAGGAAGAAGTGGGCAGGGTGGGAGGTGAGTGCTGGCAGGGTTTCCCTCCATTGAGGAACTGGGGAGGCTCCAAAGAGGTCATGTCCCCAACCAAGGTCACCCCGTGAAAACAGTAGAGCTGTATTGCCCCCAGTTTAACTTCTAAGATGCTGGTGAAGGAAGGGGTCCCAATGGCCCAGGTTCCGGGCACACCCCTGCTATGTACTGGGTGGTCTTGGGCAAGCCCCATAACTATCCCAGGCTCCCCAGCTGAAAGATCATAGGACGAGTTCAGGGCTCTGATGGCCGAACACCTAGCACTTGGCACAGGAGCTCTTCTTATTCCCTGCTGTGTGACCTTGGAGAAGTCTGGGCTTCTCAGACTTTAGCCCCCTCTCTTAGATGCGGGGCAACACAGGCTGGCCTGGAGGAACAAACTGGCTCACAGGACAGCCCAGCTCCATCTGAGTCTGCGGTAAACGAATTTGTGGAGTCAACTCTGTGCCCTTGGCAATTTAAGAGGAAAATAATCAGAATTTAACTTAGGATGGGGAGGCCATGCCACCCCTCTCTCCGGGTGATGTGACCCCAGCCTCGATCCCCTCCTGCCCTGTTCTGCGCAGCCTACCCAGCACGAGCATCTCCCCGCCAGCCTGGTTTCAGGGTGCAACAAAGCCCCCCGAGATGGGCTCCACGTTCTGGTCTCCAGTGACCACACACAATTTTGCCGTCATGCCCCAACTCGGGCTCTGATATCGTTGGGCACCCAGCCAATGCCAGCCAGTCCTCCGCTTCCCACCCCTCCTCCTCCCACCTTAGGCACCACCCCAGTACCTGACCTTTGTGCTGACCCACCACCACATTAACAGAGCTCCTACTGTGCTCTGTTACGGGCACTGGGCTCAGGCTAATAACCGCAGAGACACGCGGTGTTTACTACGAGCGCTATTCCAACGTTAACTCATTTGATCTTCACGCCCGTCTTTGAGGTAACAGCATGTACAGAGGAGGAAGCCAAGGCTGGCAATGGTGTAGTCACTCGTACAACGTCACACAGCGGAACTTGAACATGGCCATCTGCAGAGATGCAGCCACTGTACTACAGACAATGTTCGGGGCAACCCCTTCTGGAGACGAGACCCTCCTCGCATCCTTGGGAGGAACTCTTTCCCACCCTCATGTGACCCCTTAGTGGGAGTGGGGTTCAAGGACCAAGCCTCGCCTGCCCCCAGCCACTGTGATGGGTTCAGGGATGGACAGGTGAGCCCATCGGCCAGTGAGAACGAGCCCTTTCCTTTGCATGTCAGCCGGAGCGGCAGCTGCCACCTTGGTCAAGGGCAGGAGGGTAGGACACCTTCAAACAAAGCCAACCCTGGCGGTGGGCAGAGTCAGGAGATGGCATGAGGGTGGCTGGACCCAGCCATGCCTGAAGTCAGACACCGTGGACATTTTTCCTTGGCTGCGAGCCACCTCTTTCTTCCATTTTTCCGGCAACCCTGGGAGCTAGGGACTAGGACTGGCTTCCTCCTTGTACAGAGGAAGAAACTGAGGCCCAGAGGTATCTGCCACACACCGGGATCCAAACCCAGGGCCCCGCAGCCCCATAGCCGCACCTCGTCGAGGAGTTCCACGGACGCCCGCAGGATCTGCCTCCACTTGTGCACCTCGACGCTGTGGAACTGCTTCTGGAGGGCGAGGATCTCTGCCCACTCCGTGGCCGTCTGGGGGAACTTGCTGCAAGGGGGTGCAGGGCCTGAGCGGGGCGGAGGCCTCGCCCGACCCGCCCAAGTCCCCAGCCCCCTCAGGCCCCCCACTCACCCCTTGGCCAGGGCCAGACTGTGCCAGGACTCGAAGGTGTGGGCCGTCCTCTCCAGGGACCAGAGGCGGTAAAAGAGGAGGACATTGAGGGCGATGAGGACGATGAGGCTGAGGGCAGGGGTCAGAGGTCAGCGTCTGGACACAGAAGCTCTCCTAGGTCAGTAGCACCCACACAACCAAACCACAAAGGGGCACCATGATCACCCCGCTTTCCAGAGGAGAAAGTGGAATCAGAGAGGGTGACTGACATGCCTATGGGCACATAGTCCCTAAGCAGCAAAGTCAGGGATGGCATCCAGGCCTCGCCCCTCATGGCCACAGCAGGCTGCCTGGCTGGGAGAGCCGGGGGCTCAGGGCCAGGAGAAGGGGCTACAGCTGGGGTCTGGGGGGAGAGGGGAAGGGGGTGCAGGAAGCAGGGCCCTACCTCACACAGATCCTGGGGAGGCAGCAACAGGAAGACAAAAGAAGTGAGAGCCTGCCCCGCCCCTCCTTGAGTGTGCCACATGGCCCCTCTCCAGACTTCAGGCGCTGGGAAACTGAGGCCCAGAGAGGCCGAGTGTGTGACTGAGCTGACTCTCACCTGCAGGGTCTGCCGGAAGCTCGGACCTCACTTCCACGTCCTCAGAGTTTCCTGTCCCCACCTCCCCTATCCCTGGCCTCTGTGCTCCCAGGTCTCCCTGCTTCACCCTCCATAGTCTCAGCTCAGGAATCCTCTGCTTTTCTGGGAAGCTTTCCCCAGCCTCCTGCAGCTTCCCTGTCCCCACCCTGTCCCCCAGCACCCTGGCCTGCTGACAGGTCTCTAGTCAGTTCTGTGGCCCCAGTGTCCCCCAGCTTAGGGCTGGACACAGAAAATAGGACTGAGATGTATGACAGTGCTTTTTCCCCAGATCTCTCCCGGTTCCCCTCATTCTACCTCCTCTGGGTGCCTGCTCACCCAGAAAGCCCTCCCTGCCCCCAGGCTGTCAGGCTCCTCTGACCTCCCAGAGGCCTCAGGGCCTCACTCTCCCAGCAGGACAGACTTCTCCACAACACACTAGGCACATTCCAAACATCCTCTCCCTCCATCTCTGCTATGCTAAAAAGTGAGCCCACGCTCCCACTCCACTAGATGCCCGGAGAGGCCCAGAGAGGCCTGCCTGAGGTCACACAGCCAGAATGCAGATCCAGGCCTGTCTGACCCCACAGCCCCGGCCCCTTACTCACACCACGCTGATGAGAACCAGGGCGCTGGGGACGCCTGCCCCGGGGCCTGGGTCCACGGACGGTTCCGAGAAGCGAGAGCTGAGGGAACCTGAAGGAGAGCGCCGTGCCGTCAGACAGAGCCATCCCAGCACACGACCAGGGCCCCGGCCCGGCCCGAGGGGACACACCTGAGGTGTGCATGCCCGCCCGGGCGCAGGGGTCTGGGTCCGGGTGCTGGGGCCCGTCGCCGTGACCCCTCCAGCTCAGGGGCCGCTTGCGTCGCCGCAGGCCTGACAGCAGTCCGCGCGTGTCCTTCCCGCCTTCCTCCAGGGACAGCTTCTCCGCCTTGGCAAGCTCCCGCTCTGTGGACACAGGAGGGACCTCTGCGTGGCTGCACCCGGCCAGCCAGGCCACCACCCCATCCCCAGCCGGGCCGACCTCCCCCTACCCAGGTGGTGGAAGTAATCTTCAATGCCGCTCCAGGAGTTCTTCTCGATGAGGGACTTCACGAGGCTCCAGGGCTGCTTCCGGTAGCGGATCTCAGAGGACACCCTGGGGTCGCGGGGGACAGGGGGAGGGGGTCAGGGTCTGACTCTGACCATTCCAAGGGGGTGCTTTCCTTCCCCCAATTCAGAGAGGGTCCCTTGTCACCCACAGGCCAAACCAACACACCTTGGCAAGTCTCCCAGACTTAGCAACGCCCTGGGCCCCCCGCAGCTGAGCCCACACCTGGCCCCGATTCTACCGTCTTGTGCTGTGCCCCAGCTCCACCCGGGGTCCAAAAGACAGCTCAGCCCACCCCAAACTGAGCTCATCTTCCCCCAAACCTGTCCCTCGCCCCCTTTCCCATCCTGGTGGATGGTGGCTCTGGGCCCATTGGCTCAGGCCAAAGCCCTGGGGGCTTTCTGCCACCTCTCCCCAAGGGAGGGGACTCTGTCAGGGGAGGGGCCGGGCCGCTGCTCACCGCAGCCGGGCCTTGTTGCGGGCAAGGCCCAGGATGCAGTAGCGGTGGGCAGTGTAGAAGTAGTCCTGGTACGGGATGCCCTGGGTCAGCACCTCGGAGTCCACCACGCAGCCGCCCGCCTGGGGGCCGCGCCGGAACAGTGTCTGTGGGGAGGAGGGAGGAGGGAGGAGGGAGTCAGGCCCCCCCACAAGCCAGCCAGGGCTGCCCGGCCTGCCACTTTGCCCTCCACCCGGGCCCACCTGTGTCTCCACCACGGAGGCGCTCTTAGGGCCCAGGGGGTTGCTGATGGGGATGGTGTATGTCAGCACTCGGCGCTGGTGGCACTTGTTGTCGCCACTCCAGGGACTCAAGGTCACATCTGGGAGAGGCAGGGAGGAAGGGACAAAATGAGGACACCATTCTCCAGTCTTCTGCCCACAGGCTGTGGGAACTAGCCTTTTTTGGACTGTTCCAGTGCTCCAGGAACTCGTCCCCAAACCCACCCTGCCCCCGTGCCCCATCCTTCCTTCTGGAGCCCTAAAATTTCAGATGTTGGTTAGACTCTGAGCTGGGACCTCTCTCTTCCCTATGCTTGTCACTCATCCTGGGGCCATCTCATCTGCTCCTGCAGCTTCAGTTTCCCTCTCTGTACCAGTCCTGGCTTCTCTTGTGTGCCTCAGACCTAGGGTCCTGTGACCTCCTGAACACCTTCCCTTGGAAGTTCCCCAGACACCCAGGAGGTCCCACACTGGCCTCGGCATCCTCCTTCCTCTCGGGGTCCCAGTGCAGGGGTGGCCCCACCATACTCCAGACTCCTCCAGAGCCCTGGGCCCTGCCCTGGACACTCCCTCCCCCTTGTGTTCACTTGAACTGAACATTGCTCCTGGTTCAGTCCATCCCTGCCTGCCCAGGGTCCCACTCCGCCCCCCCGAGTTTCTGGCCTTGGACTCCACCTCTGAGGTCCAGGGGTAGCTTCTTAAAGCCAAGCCTGCTCCTGCCCGTAACCTGCCTAGAACAGTCCATGGCTCTCCAGGGCCCCCAGACAGAATCTGAGTTCCTCAGTCTGATGTGCCTGTCCCTCCAGGACATGAGCATCATTTTGGAGGACTGTGGGCCCCCAAACCAAGGCACGCTCTCACTCATTCTGCAGAGAATTCTACCTGACTCATTTTCATCAACACAAAAAAAGAAACAGAGAAAAGACGACTAACTGACTAGCCCCTCCCCTGCTTGAATCCCTTCCACAGCCTCCTGAGCCGTTCAGCTGGTTCCACCGTGAACCCTTCCGTGTCACCTGGCACTGTGGCTTCACCTCGCCACACATGGCCACAGAGGCCCAACCTCAAGGGATTCTCCTAGTGTCTGCCCCCGGCCTCAGGGCCTTTGCAGGTACCCCGCTGGCCTCCTGGGTTTCTCTCCCATCTCCTCGCCTTTCCCCAGAAGAGCTCCTCCTTCAGGCCTCGGTTCCTTCATCACATCCTTCCAGCAGCTTCTCCTGAGACCCCTCAGGTCACAGACTCCCCTCTGGCACTCTGTCCCCGCACATCTGTGACTTATTTGTGTGTCTGTTTACTGTCGTTCTCACTAGATCCTCGACTTCGTCTATCCTGACCTCTGCACAAATCTGACAGGGCGGCCACTAAATGTGTGATCATCAACTTGTGTTTATTAAGTGCTTACTGTATACCACTGCTCTTAGCACGTGTCTAGTTATCAACTCATACAGCTCTCAGGAGACCTGGCTACAGCAGGGACTGTTATCATGCCCCCAACATATGGACGGAGGAAGAAACTGAGGCAGAGAGGCTCGGAACACTGCCCGAGGCCATTCAGCTAGTTAAGAGGCAGAGCCCGTCTGGTCTGGTCTCGCGGATGTGGCTTCTCACTTGCCCACCGCCCCCTGGGCCACATCTGCTCTGCAGGGCTTGCTGGTCTCCTGCTTCCGCGCCCCCCGCCCCTCCCCTGCAGCCAGGGGAGCTCGGCCCCCTGACCTGTAAACTTGCACTGCCGCAGGAAGCCCTGCAGGAAGGGCGAGTCTGAGAAAAGCATCTGCTGCAGCCGCTCGGCTCCCACGTGGAAGACGGAGTTGATGAGGAGCCGGCCGGAGAGGTCGGGCAGAAGGGCGGCCAGGTCAGCTGGGGGACAGAGAAGGACGGCGGGGGCTGCATTGCTCCCTCCTTGGAGCAGCGCCTCGGTTTCCCTTGGGTGACTGCTCCTCTCCACTCCCAGGCCTCGAGCGGTGGAAGGGCAGCCCCATCCTCGCAGGCTGGGGTGGACGCAGACCGGAGCACCGCTTGGCCCCTTTCTGCCCCAGGGGTGGCTTTAGGGCAGGCATGCGTCCCCCCACTCAGCCAGCCAGAGCCACTGTGATCGGTTCATGGAGCAGCACACGCCCGGGCCCAGGGGGCTGCTGTCACTGGCATCACAGGGGTGGGCCTGTGATGCTCCTGATCAGCCTGGGCTCTCAGCTGCTGTAATTGGTTCAGGGACAGGCCTGGGCTCCAAGGTGGACCAATCAGAGCCAACCCTAGAGCTTCTGGTGCCTCTGGTGGGAAAAGCAGGCTTTCTCCCTGCTAGGCTTGGCGGGGAAGAGGGCGGGTTGGGGCTCTCTGTGCCCCGCCTCCGCCCAAGAATGGAGGCTACCTAAGAAGGAAGCCGGCACATGGGAAATGGAAAGAGTAGTAACAAGAGCCAGCACCGACGGGCCTGAGCACTTTACAAACATTAACTCACTTTCATTCTCTTAACATTGACCCCATGAAGTGGGCAGGATTATTGCTAACCCCATTTTTCGGATGAGAAAAATGAGGCTCGAAGAGTTAAATAATTTGCCCACGTTACCCAGCTAGGAGGCAGTATGGCCAGCATTTGGGCCCGGGCAGTCTGGCCTCACAGCCTGTGCTCTTACCCATCCGCTCTGCTGCCTTCGAGCCAGAGCTAGACAGATTTCTAACAGCACCGTCTGAATGCCTGCACCCCCTGGATTTTTTAGTCCCAGGAGCCAGCCAATCCCATGTGGACGCCAGTCTGAGCAGGGGCTGTCCCATGGAGGCAAAGCACATGCCTGGGGCCACCTGCCTCACCTTCTTCCCCTGTGGACGAGGAAGAGTTGCTCGTGTCCGACAACAGCTCCTCACTGCGCAGCAGGTCCAAGGGGCCCAGGGAGGTGGGCCCCTCAGGTGGGGTCGGCTCAGTGCTTGGTGGTTCGGCCACCGGGGTCACGGTCTGGCTGGAGGAGGCATCTGGCTGGCTGTCCGTCTGCTCCTCCTTGTCCTCCTCTGCCTGCAGAGAAAGGCTGACTCCAGCGCTGTCCCCCTCCATTCCAGCCTGAGGGCCCCCCCGCCCCGTGTGGCCATAAGGATTGAGACTGGAGGAAATTCGATGCTGGGGGTTCACGTGTGCACGAAGCTTCCAGCCGAGCCACAAGGGGCCCTGGGGCTGCCCAGATGAGGGCCCTCTCAGCCCCTACCAGGCCTGTCCTGGGTGCCTGGGCCATAAACCTTCTCATGCCTCTTCTGCCCTTCTGTCTATCCTTCCGTGCCTTGTCTGTCCAGCTCTGTCAGTCCATCGTTCCTTCCATCCATCCATCCATCCATCCAAGCCTTGCTTCTTCTGTCTCAGTGTCTTCCTGTCTTCTGCCCTTTCACCTCTCTCTCTCATTCCATTTCCTTTGCCCATCTTGGCTCCATCCCATCCCTCTGTCCATCCTCTCCCTTATCCCTCCATCCACCTCTTCTCTGGCCCTGTTGCTCCCCTCCCCATCCCTCCACCAACTCTCAGTCTGTTCCTCTCCCTGACCCCCCCCCCCCCCGCCACACACACACCGTCCTCTGTCTCTTGCCATCAGCATCCACTCTCGGCCCCATTCTCTGCTCACCCCATGGTCTGCATCGCTGCTGGCTCGGGAAAGGTTGGGGGTGATGCGACCACGGCGCGAGCCCACCGGGCTCGGCTCTTGGCTGTTGTCGGCTGCCCCCAAGGGGGTGATGTCACTCAGGGCGATCACGTCTCCCACATCCTTGGAGCTCCTGTGGGGGAAAGGGAGGGTATGGGACTGCTGTATCTTTGCACCCCACACACCCTCCTGGTCTCCCAGACTCTATGCCCACCTCAGTCCACCCAGGACTCCAGGAGCTCTGCACACAGAGCCTGTCGTCTCCCCCCACCCCAGGAACCAGCCACCAACCTCTGACTCACCCTAGACCATTCAGCTGCAAGGGGCAGACATAGTCCTCATCCTCGCTGGTGAGGCCCAGCTCGGAGCCATAGCACTGATGTACCAAGTGCCAGAGCTCACGGGGGCTCAGCGTCTGGACAGACAGAACATGGGGTTGGTCTCCGCTTCCCTGGGCCCACAGCCCTTCCCAGCCACAGCCCTGCTAGCCCTCAGGCCAGCATTCCCATGGTGTCCACAAGGGGGCAGCAGCGCCCCCCCATCCAGTTCCATCCACCCCTCACCAGGACTCAGGGCGCTCAGGACTGTCCCCTTAGGTCCTCACAAGACTCCCACATCCACAGGGTAGCATTCCCAGATTTACAGAGGAGAAGATGAGGCCAGGAGAGCAGAAGTCACACGCCCGAAGTCCCACAAGCAACCTGGGGCAACTCAGGGTTCTACACGCAGCCGGACCCCAGAGCCTACGCTCCCACCCGCCATGCTGTCCTGCCCCAGACTGCTTTCCTAAGTGCTCCTGGCCACAGTGGCTGGAGGCCTGGGACGGAAGAGCAGTGACAGCCCAGCAGCAAGGCAGCCAGCCACTGCATTATTACCAGGCGTCCTGTGGCAAACTCACTGAATCTTCTAGAACAATTCTATAAAGCACTAACATCATTGTTTTAAGGCAATGATGCTGAGGCACAGAGGTGCTCGAGTGGCAGTGGCGAGATGTGACCCCCGGGGAATGGGGGTAGGGGGACTGCTCTTGCACCTTGGAGCTGACCGCAGGGCCAGTCTGCCTCACGAGAGCTAACCTGACCGAGCACTTATTCTGGGCCCAGCTCTGGCTGCTATGAAGTAGGGAACGGCCCTCTCTGATGGCGTTCAGTGATTTGCCCCGGGTCACTCAGCTCCTCGGTGATGGAGCGGAAACCCCAAACCCAGCAGTCTGGCTCCAGGGCTTGAACGTTGAACCCTCCCCAGCCCTCCGCCTCCCTGGAGGCCATGACCCTCTCTTGGACTCCTACTCCAGCACCATCACTTCTAAGGATGGGCACAGCTGGAGCTGCCCCCGAGGGGACAGGACAGGAGTGTGGCACAGCTGGAAAGCAGGTTTGGCCTGCTTGGTGCTGTCGGCCAGCAGTCGCAGACACGGACCATGCACCTGACATCCAGCCATCCTCCCTCCCCACCAGCAGAAACCCAATTTGTTCGGGGCGAAAATCTTTCCCAGCCCTAGGGATAAATTATAACTGGTTTACGCCAAGTTTTCCATCTTTCCTTTGCAACTGAGGTGGTCCTTTAGCCAGTTCTAGCCAAAGACATGCAAAGAGCAATTGGCTTAAAGGGGGGTTTTCCTTCCCTGAAAAAGGAAAGTGCCCTTTCTACCCACACATTTTCTTCTTCATGTTTGGACACTTATGTGACGGAGGACATGATGTCAAGGGCTATGGCAGCCATATTGTAACCATGAGGCAACAAGCATGTGAATAAAACATCAACATGCAGAAGGCAGACAGTGTGGAAGAATAAACAAGAGCTGGGGTCCTTAGGCATAGGGGATGCGGGGGAGAGCCCTCAAACCCGCCCTGGGCTGCCTGCCTCCAGACCTCCCGTAAGAGGAGCATTAGCATGATACAGAATCTAACTGCCACGGTCACAACCCCAGCTCTGCCACATGAAAACCCTCATGACCATGGGCAAGGCTATCCCTCCATGCTTCACTGGTGAAACAGATAGCTACCTCCCAGGGTGGTTGTGAAGACAAAGTGAATTACTGCATGTAATGCTCAGAGCAGTGCCTGGCACCCAGCAGCACCCGAAGTATTAGCTACTATTATTACTCAGGAAGTAATTCAGTGTCTGTTTGCTTAAAGCACATGTGGTTTAGTTTTCTGTGACTTTCTGTAACTTGCAGCCACCTGTATAAACTCACGCAACCACAGCCGGCTTGGGGAGCCTGTGGGCCAGCCCACAGTAGGCCATCGGAATATGCCATGTCTAAAAGCCCTTACACAAAATGTCTTGGGGCAAGACATAAGTCAAGATTAAGAAAGTAGCAGATCTAGGAAAGATAAGGCAGTGCCTGTACTGCATGTAGTAACACGGGACCAATAATGATGACTGCATTGTATTTAGTACACAATGCACAATATATCAAAGGTTCTCCAAGGGTGGTCCAAGGATTCCTGGGGATCCTCCAAGCCTTTCAGGAGGTCCATGCCACCAAAATTATTTTCATAAGTGTGGCTAAGTGTTACTAGTAGTATAAAATACTTCTTGCCTTTTTCACTTTTATTCTCACACTAGTGTACAGTAGAATTTTCCAGAGGCTACGTGACACGTGACACTGTCTTTTCCTGGGGGCTCATGCAGTGTGTGCTCGCGTATTCTTGTGGTTAAGAATTCCCCAGTTTCGATTTCTAATACAGTAACTATTGGTAGATCTAACCCCCTTAAACAAAAGCTCTGTGGAGAGTCTACCATTATTTTAAAGAGGGTTCTGGAAGCTACAGAGTTTGAGAATCACTGGCATATTCAATATTGAACAGATATGATAACTTTATGTTGAATTACAATCACATCTAAGAGGCACCCCAGTCGAACACGTCAATATTTCTTGTCCTAAACGATCACACGGAGGTAAACGTAGGCCTGTGCTGTTCATGAAGCACGTGTAGCCGTTTAAGTTTAAGCAAATCAAAATGAAGTGAAAAACACAGATTTCCAGCTACCCTACCTGCTTTCTGAGAGTTCAACAGGCCCGTGTGGCCAGCAGCTGCCATATTTTGACAGCGCGGATGGAGAATACTTTGATCGCAGTAGAAAGTTCTATTAGAGCGTGCTGCTGTAGACTAGAAACAACTATGTCAGCTCGGGGCCGGACCTTGCTACGGCACACACAAAGGCACCTTCTCATTTTCAGAGCATTCTGCATTTGTGGCGGTGAAGCAAGGGCCACGGGGAGACACAGATATAGGTGCGTGGGGGCAGGGCCAGGCACCGGGGCCCGTGGTGGTCCCTGCTGGAGTCTAGGCAGGAAGCTGCAGGCAAGGCAGGCCTGTGCCCATGGAGGAGAGAGAAGGGGTCCTCCAGCTCCCCCAATTCGGATCTCCTGGCTCCAGGATCCCCCCTACCTCGATCCCCAATCCACTCTCACCCAGACCCACCTTTTCAAGCAGTGCATTCTGCCAGAGGCGGAAGATGAGGAGGAAGCAGCGGTCCCGGGCCCCGAAGGAGGTGAAGAAATGCTGCCGGAGAGAGGGAGCTGTGAGCGTGCGGGGGCAGACATGGCCGGAGGGAGGGGAAGCTCCGTCGCCACCCTCACTTTGTGCCTGGATCTCCATCCTGATGGATCCATTCATCCATCCCTTCATTCACTCCACAGAATGTTTATCCTGTGCCCAGCCTGGCACCAGACGACGCTGGAGTCCCCATGATGAGGTGATGGCCCCTGGCCCCAGCCCCCAAGCTCCCAGTCCAGGGCAGGAGACAGGCACAGCCCAGATGGGTGGGCTGTGCGGGGGGAAGCCCAGAGCACTCTTCTAGGCTCCTTTGACCAGGAGGAATGGTCACCTAATTCCACAAAGGGAAGTCTGCTGGGAAGTCTCCCCACCATTCCCTTCCTGTCTGAGTCAATGGTGTCAGGCAGCCATCTTGGGACCACGAGACAACAATCATTAGGATAGAACAGAGCGTCAGGGAAGGCTTCCAAGGAGAGGGGACATCTGAGTTGATAGGTATGTGGGAGGGAAGAATTCTACTATTAATATGATCCCTGGGCAGCTGCGGTGGGGGTGAGGGGAGGGCAGACCATAGGCACTGACACGAGGGAGTGCAGGGGGTTCTGGGTCAGAGGTGATGGGAGCCTAGGCCAGGCCAATAGGGGTGGCAGGGGAATAGACAGAAAGCAAGGGATTCTGAGAGCTCAGTGTGGAGAATAAACGGGGCCTGGGGCAGGAGGGGCTGGCTGAGGCCGGTGCCCACAGTCCCCCAGCAGGTCCTCTGGCTCACCTTCTCGCTCTCAGTGCAGATCTGGATGGCATTGGGGATCAGCTTGGCTGTCTTCTCCTTCTTCAGACAGGTCACTTCCTTCAACTGGATGGAAATCTGAAGACGAGAGGCCGGTCAGAAGAGGCCCCGGGCCCAGTCCGCCCACCTCTCCTCGTCCCCAAGTGGGCTCACTGTTGTTTCCCAGCGGAAGATGTTGCTGTAGAAGCAGATCCAGTTCTCGGAGAGGTAGAGGCGGCCTTGGAGGAGGATCTCACGCTGCAAGGCACAGGAGTAATCTGAGGCGGCCGAGGGGAGAGACGGCAGACACCCGAGTCACACACGCTGTGCCTGCCAGCGCGGGCAGAAGAGGCGGGAGGGCAGCGCGAGGGAACCAGGGCCCAGCCCGGGGATGGGGTCTGCATGGCTGGACTTACCCACGATGAGGCGTTCGGCCTCCGGGAGCTTGCTGAACAGTTTCCGGAAGTCCTCGTTCCGCTGTTTGTACGTGGGGCTCAGCATCTGGAGGAGGTGGGGAGGTAAGGTTCACACCCCTGTACTTGTGCCCCACAAAGTGCCCAGAAGCCCCTCCAGCTCCTCAGCCCCCGGCCAGCTCTCGGAGGCTTCAAGTCTAGCTCCCGGCTGCCTTCCCCGGCCCGCCCACGAGATTAGCCAGCAGGAGAACGGTCATTTACTGATTTCCACGTAAGCCTGTGCCAGGGACCCACTGGCATCACTCTTAGCAAGAGTTCCCTTTGGCTTTGTGAGGCTGGGACAGTGTCTCCAGAGACCGGCCCAGGGAAGTTAAGCAACTCACTCAAGGACACACAGGAAGTAAGCGGCAGTCCAGGATGTGACCCTAGGTCTGCTGACCCCGGCACCTGTCCCCCTCCCTTTCTCCCCTCCAGCCGCCCTGCCCAATACTTACACTGTACCAGCTCTGCATCTTCTGCAAGAGAAAGGAACGGAGTCAGAATGAGCCCCTAAATTCCCCTGCCCTTCCACCTGACTCCCCACCCCACTGGGCTTGCACCGACCTTGCTATTGCGGATGAAGTTCCGGCTGCCCAGGCTCTGGGTGCTGGGTGTCCCAGGCACCCCACCCTTCTCTGAGGAGCTGTCTGACCCCTTCTCCACCATGGTGCCTGGTTCAGGCTCAGGTGGGGATCGGCTTGAGGGCAAGAGCTGCAGCCGCTTACGGAGAGACGGGGAGCTGCTTGGCGTACTCCGGCCGGAGTGGGGGGTGGTGCTGGGGGAGGAGAGAAAGAGGGGCATTGGCGGGAAACAGGCTGGGTATGGGGACAGGTCTGTTTTAGGAGGCCCACATATCAGCCCATGGATCCCACCCACCATTCTGACTCCACTTCCAGCTGTGTGACCGAGCGAGCAGCTCCCTAACACTCTGCATGTCCGTGACTTCGGCTCTGACCCATGGGTGGTAAGTACGTGTCCTTGTCTGCTTGTCAGGGCGGTTCAGTGAATCACACGTGTAAGGTGCTTCTAGTAGCGCCTGGCATAGAGTTAAGCTCTCAAGAAGATTGCTATTTTTAAAATTATTAATTCATTCACAAATACTTGAGTAGCCCCTCCCCACTCACTTGCTGGAGCTAAAACCCTAAGCACGTGCTTCGTTTGCTTCTTGTTCACTCTTCACTTCTGATCTGTTAGCAAGTCCCACCTGCTCTACCTCCAAAATCTACTTCTATTACACCCATTTCCCCTGCTCCTGCGCCCTGGCCCAGCCTCCATCCTCATCGCCCCCTACCCGGGACATCACCGCAGTCTCCCTGGGTTCCCTGTCCCCATCACCGCCCCCTGCAGTCAGCCCCCTACACCAGAGGAAGCCTGTGAACCTGTCTTGGGTCAGGGCCCTTCTGGGTCAAAGCCTCTCCAGGCTACACCGTATTCCAGGTAAAGGCCAAGTCCTCACCTCGTCACCCCAGGCCCTGGTGTGGCTCATACCTTCCACTTCAGCTCCCTCCACCCCCAGCACCCTTTTGTCCCCTAAGCTCACCCACTGCATTCCCACATCAAGGCCTCTGCACTTCTATTTCCTCTGCCTGGAATGGCCTTCCGTATCCCAGCCCACCAGGGTCTGTCTTACTCGACTCAAATGCTCCTCGTCCCCTGGGGACCCAGCCCCCGAGGCCCACTTCACACCACCTGGACTCATCCCATCTGCCTAGTCATTTTGCCTATTGTTGCCTCCGGCTGTGAACTAAAGAGGTCTTAGTCACCACTGTGTCCCTGGCACGCAACATTGTACCCAACATGGAGTGAACTCTCAAGAAACATCAGTGACCGCAGGCATGCTCTGTGCGCTGGCTAGAGCGGGAGCAGCAGAGGGACACTTGCTGGCATCGTACCAAGACGCTGGCAAGCTCCCCGTACAATTACGTATTCCTCAGGCAACCCTGGACACGTGACGGTATCGCCATCCCTGCTTCCCGGAGTAGAAGCCAGGACGCGAGGCCACCAACCACCGGTCCCAGGATACACTGCTGCTTGAAGCCAGGGCACGACTCTACCTCAGTGGACTCCATTGCCTCTTGGGGGGGTGGGGGCAGATGGGGGTCCCTGGACCACCTGGGGCTCCTCAAACTTCCCTCACTTGCCTCCAAGCTCCAGCATATGCCGTTCCCTCACTGTGGACTGCCCCTGGCCTTCCCCGTCTGGCAAATTCGTGTGCCTTTCCCAGGGCTCTTGGTCGCCACCCCTCCCTCTCGGACAGGGCTTCTGTTGTGGCTCCCTAGGGACCCCTGGCAGCTCCCATCCTGTCGCTAACCACTCTCCTGCACTCTGCCTCTGCGTCCCCCACGCCAGCCCTGACTCCTTCTGGGCGGTCACTTGTCAGACGACAGCTCCATTTCCTCCACAGGCCTGTGAGCTCCCCGACAGCAAAGTCCTGGTCCCTGCTCTGTCCCTGGTACTGCCCAGGCCAGGACCCAGGGTAGGCATTCCAGTCACACTTAGGAAATGAGTTTGTGGAATAAAATACGTAAGTAAATAAATGAAATAGGTGGTGATCTGGGCCACTGTCACGACCCCCCGGATGCCTGGAGCTGGCTTCTCCCAGGTCTCCCTGACACCCATCCCCCACTCTGCTCCCCACCCGTGGCCAGCAGGGGCCTGTGAAAGCCTGAGTCGGGTTGGGGAACCCCCACCCCGGGCCCACTGCACCTGACTCCAGCGAAATGAGCCTCTGGACCCTCTCATCAACCCCTTGCTCACTCTTCCCCAGCTCCTGCCTTGCCTGTTCTTCTACCTAGACAGGCTCCCTCACCTCCTTCACGTCCCTGCTCAGTGGACACTTCTGAGTCGGCTTCCTCGCTTCTCTATTCAAACCACACTCCCACCTCTTGATCCCTCTCCCTCTTCATCTTTTTCCACAGCACCTCCCGCACTTGACCTGTGGTCCTGTCCCTCTCTGTGCTCCACGGGGCGTGGGGGTATGTTACCAGCCACCTCCCTGCTATCTAGAACAAGGGTGGGGCACGGACCATTTGCTCCTGTGGACTGACCAGCTCAGCGCCCCTCTCCCATCCCTCACGGGACTGGGATTCAAATAGGGTGAGACTGGCCCAACCCTCAGCAAACCCCAGTCACTTGTTCCCCATGTGGCTTGGGGGCAAGTGTCTGCACCTGTGCCTCATTTTCTTCCTGACCACGGGGGGACTAATGACATCGCCTCACGGGGTTTCTGGGGGAGAAAGTGAGGTAACAGACAGCTGACCCTTGAACAGCACAGGTTTGAGCTGTGTGGGTCCACTTAAATGGAAATTGTATTCAATAAATACAATACAGTCTTCTAAAGGTATTTTCTTCATGATTTTCTTAATACCATTTTGTCTAGATTACTTTATTGTAATACAGTACATAATACAGATAGTATACCAAAAAACATGTTCACTGACAGCTCACAGTATCAACAAAGCTTCTGGTCATCAGTAAACGATGAGGAGCTAAGTTTGGGGGGGAGTCGGAAGTGACACACTGATTTTCAATTGCCAGGCAGGTCAGCACCCCTCACCCCTGCGTTGTTCAATGTCAAGGTCACATAAATCCCAGCACGAGGAACGCACTTTGGGTTTGATCAGTAGGTTCTGTGGGACTAAAACGGAGGCCAAGGTCCTGCCCCTGCCCCGGCGCACCTGTGCTCAAGTGGCCAACGCTGACCCCGATGGGGACCACACACACACCTTAGCCCAGGGCGCAGGGCCCACACTGACCCCAATCTCCATCCTGCACACGCTAAGTACAGATTAAGCACGTGCCCTGCACCAGGCGCTGGGTCACGGAAGTGAACAAAACAGATACCGTCCCGGCCTGCAAGGACCTGACATTCCAGTTGGGGAACCGAGATGAGCAAAATAAGAACACGTGTCAAATGGAGACACCGAGCTCAGGCACCCCCCCATGCGAGCTGCACAGGCAGCCCTGGGGCTTGTGCGACCCACAGTAGACCTCTGGGGGTGGGGCCCAGGACGGAGAAGTGCGTTCAAGTCTGAGGACCATGGAAACAAAGGAGGGCTAAGTGGCTGCGTGGGTGGGGAGTAGGGCACACTTGAGCTCAGGCCGAGGATGAAGAGTAGCTTAGACAAAAACGCAAGGGAAGACTGTGTTAGGGACAGGGGTGTGGTGTTCAGGGACAGGACTGAGCCTGGCAGGTCTGAGGAGTGAGGTGGCCAGCAGGGGAAGGAGGACAGGAGGGCACAGGCCACCCCCCTCCAGGCCCCTCAGGCCCAGGTCAGGAGTTTGGGCTTCCCCCTGAGGGCACTGGTGAGCTACAGGAGGAGTTCTGAAGGAGGGGGTGACCACTTTCCTCCCCTGCCCCATCTTCTCACCTCTCTAGCCTGAAATGCAGATGCCTTCTCCACCTACTATCCCACTCTCCCACGGCCACGGGCCTACAGGAGGGTGCCTAAGGACAGGCCTGATAACACACAGACGGGGCAGGGCCTATGGCCCCCAGATCTTGCTTTTCTGTAGAAGGAAGAGGAAGTGTTCGAGAGCAGGCACAGGCCTGAGGCTGCCCAACCAGGCAGGCGGCTGCAGAGGGAAGGGAGGAGCCCGTTGTGGCTGGAGAACCGTTATGGGGGGCAGGGACTAGGAAGAAAACAGGGTTTTGCCAGTGCAGACACCTTTCTTCAGACTTCCTGGACCTACCCAGGCCTAGAGCTCCCTCTGGTCAAACAGGGGCAGTGCACACACAGGTGTGCATAAAAGAGAAACGTGGTATGGGTCCCACGCAGCCAGTATAGGCAAAAGGTATACTTCCCCACCATTGCAAGAAGTTTCCCCCCTCCATCCACCTCACAGCAGAGCTCCCACAGGTGTGTCAGCGTTGTACCCAGAGCCGCAGGGTTCTAGAATAAAGATTCACACAGCTGCAGCATGACAAGTATGTTACAGCCACAAAGTCCCAGAAGTTACACACACACACACACACACACACACACACACACACACGCCTGTCCAGGATGCATGAGTGCAGCTGCAGAGGATCAGAGAAACCACAAAAAGTTCCAGATACATGACATTCACACAGATGGCCATAAGAAAGTCTCTGAGAAGAGGTGAAAGCAAATCACATTCTACAGGGACAGCCATACACGTAAAAGAGCAGTCACAAAGGAACTCAGCCGATGCAGGTACCCTGTAGATAAATTTAAGCCATAGGGTCAGCTTGGCTCTCCTGGTGTTCATAGCCTGGTGGGGAAGACACAGTGAAGGACCGCTCTAACGTGGCAAGGGGCGGAGGGGTCAGCAGTCTCTATTGTCGCCAGAGAACCCAGACATTTACACAGCCATGAAGGACCCAGGTGGTCACAAAAACAGCTTAATAACACAGTGGCCAGCTATGGAAATAATGCATTGGACGTGCTTTATAAACGGTAGCACGGGAACAATGTCAGTCATTACTGCTCCAAACAGTCAAGGGTACACCCGAGGTCTCAGGAAAGAGGGTCCCGCGCCCACTAAGAGCCACAAGGGATCTCTCTTTATGCTCTCACACACACAAAGCCCCAAGGGTCTCCGCTGCATACACACAGAAGCCCAGGCACGAACAGAACTGTCACCTACGGATTACAGAGACACACAGGAATTTTCACACCAAGATGTAATCAGAAGTAAATTACAGGCACAGCCCCAGGGGGTTCCAGCCATATACCCCAGGCCCTGGACACACAATGTCACCTAGGGACACACACAAGTCACTTACATTTGCACCAAGAACGAATGTGTTCAGAGATAAATTATAGGCACAGACAGAGACAAAGGATGATAGCTGTAAACACCGTGTCCACATACCACCAAGTCACAACTGGACACACAGGCAACTTACGGAGAGGCCTGGAGCCACAGATGTTATCCAAAGCAAATTTCACAGACACATGCACAACCAGGGAGGATCTCCGCTGTCTGCACACTCGGAGACCTAGACACATGTACACACACTCCGAAGTCACAAGCAGGCGTGCATGGTCTGATGGGATGCGATAACACATCACACACATACACAACCACAGAAGGTCACACCATGCACACAAAGCCTCTCACATACACACACACACACACACAACTGGAGTGGCAATCAGACATACTCAGGAAATTTACAGTAACACATGGAGCCACAGATGGAGTCTGACGTAAATTACACACAGCCAGAGAGGATGCACAGGAGGAATACAGACACGCAGACATACACTTCCAAGACACCTACAATGGAGACTTCAAAACATAGCGGGCCCAGACAAGGAGGAGGTCAATTCCGGCCCCACGACCTGGGGAATTTCAGGCACAAGGCCGGCCGGCCACGAAGCCCCCACCACCAGCGGCGCCGGGACTCGCCACAGACAGAGGCGGTGGGAGGGGGCCCAGGCCAGGATGGGGGCTGCTCCCGAGCTCCGTGGCCTGTGCGCGGGCCAGCGAGGGGCTTGTGTCCGCCTAGCCTGCACCCCAGGCCCAAAGCCCGGGGTCAGACTCCCACCCACTCCTCGCCTCCCGGACCGCGTCCGGCTAGGCCGGAGCCCTCCCCCGCAGGCCCCGCTCCCCGCGGATGAGCCCGGGACCCCCACCAAAGCCCCGCCACCCCGGCGCGTCTCGCCCTGGCAGTGACCGAGCCTGGGTCGCCCCCCACCTCTCCCCCGCCGTCAGCGCCGAGGCCCCAGTGCAGCGCCGGCCCCCTCCCCGCCCCCACCCGGTCGCGCCCACCGCCGCCCCCCTCCCGCCCCGGCTCCGGTCGCGCCACCCTCCCCCCAACCCCGAGCCGAGCGCGCGCGCAGCCCCGGGCCGGCCGGCCGCGTCCTCCCGCCCGCCGCGCCCCCGCCCGGGTCCTTACTCGAACATGGATGCGGCGCGGCGGGCGCGCCCGGCCGCAGGGCTGGGCCGGCCGAGCGGGGCTGGGCTGAGCTGGGCGTCCCCGCGGGGCACCTGCCTAGCCTTCCGGGGCCGCCGCCCCCACCCGACCGCGTCGCCCGCGCCGCCCGCCGCCGCCCGCCGCCGCCCGCTGCCCGCCGCCCGCACAAAGGCCGGAGCCCCGGAGCCGCGGGAGCCGCCGCAGCGTCAGCGCACCCTTCCCGCCCCCGCCCCGTCGCGTCACGGCGCCGCCCCCGCCCGCGCGGTAATGGGGACCGCGCGGCGGGAGGGCCCTCGGACCCGGGGAGTGAGGGGGAGGGGCGCCGACGGGCCGGGCCGGAGAGGGGCGGCTAGCGAGAGTTCGAGGCGCAGGGCCGGGGGCGCAGGGGGAGGGCGAGCGCTCCGGGGAACCGAGAGGGGCGGCTGGGACGCCGGAGATAACCGAAACAGGAGAGAGGAAGGGAAAAGAGAGACGCTGGGAATCGGAGGCAGCGAAGTGAACAGAGGAGAGGGAGGGACAGAAAGAGAAACAGATTCGATTCAGATGGAACGCGGCCATGGCAGCTGCCTTGGGTCGGGCCGCGACCCTCTCCCCTGGTACCCGGAAAGGGTCTTCAGCTCCCCTTCTGCCCCCTGGCCGGGAGCTGCCGGCCGCCCGGGGCGGAACCAGAGACGGGGGGCGGGGGGACGAACTGGAGGGGGTGGGGTGGGCGGCTGGATGGAGATTCTGGGAAGCAGAGGGGTGGGGGCTATGGGCATCGAGGAACCAACGCTGGCGGGAAGGGGTGGGACCCGGAGGCCGCCTCCGTCCTCCGGTGCGTTTCCGCCCACCCACCCCTCACCTAGTGTTGGCCCAGGAGGTCCTCCAGGTCTGGGGACCTCTCTACGTCCCATACCCCGTTAGCCAGACCAAGTTAGAATCCAGCCTCCCTGGCTCTTAACTGTGCTGTGACCTTGGGCAAGTCACCCTGGCCCTGGGATCTCACCAACTCTGTGGTAAGGGGCATTCCCACGGGACAGCGCGGGGGTGGGGGACAGCAGCCCTTTTACAGGTGGGGAAGCCCTGCCTCAAAGACGGGAAGTGACTTGGCCCAGGTCACTCCGGGGTAGGCTGCAGAGCTGGACACAGCCCTGCAGGGACTGTCTGAGTCTGTTGGTGTCCCTGGACTGCTGGTGTGAAAGCCCGGAAATGTGAGTCCCACCTTACAGCTCTTGGCCAGAGGCACCGCTGCACGGGAACTTGCGCCCCACCCCTACCTTCCGACATGCTGTCCTACCGCTTGAAAAAATTCCATTCCCATCCCTCTCCCCACCTTTGCAGCACCTCGCCCCCCAATAAACCCCACTCTGCTTCCTTTTGGTGACTGGCAGGCCCCAAACTTCATCTTCTCTGGCCCCTCTCTTGCCCTCACACCCACATCCAATATCTCAGCCATCCCTGGCCACTCCAAGCATAAAATCTCTCCAGAATTTAAACTCTTGGCTCATATGGCCCCTGTCCAGGACAGCACAGCAGTCCCTTGGCTCTTCCTATCCTACCTCCTATAGTCTGCTCCCAACCTGCAGCCAGAGAGAACCTATGAACCCCTGAGTTAGGTTAGGGTCCTCCCAGCTCAGAGCCCTCCTGTGGCTCTACCTCACTCCAGATAAAAGCAAAGTCCTCCCAAGGTGGTGACAAGGACCACCCTTGGGCCAAGTCCGCCCAAAGCCCAAGGGTGGTCCTTGTCACCATTCTGACTTTGCCTCCTCCTTCTCCCCTTTTTGAATTCACTCTGATGGCTGAGCTTCCCTAGCTTCACCAGACACACTCTTGCCACAGGGCCTTTGCACTTGCGGTTCCCGCTGCATAGACCTTCTCTCAGGTCTTAAAGAGGCACTCCTTCCACCATCTCCCTCTGTCTCACTGGTCTCTTTATGACCCTTGAACAACATATGCTTGAATCCATTTATACATGGATTTTTTTTTTTTTACAGTACAGTGCTGCACATGTATTTTGTCTTATGATTTTCTTAGAAACATTTTTTACTCTAACTTATTTTATTGTAAAAACACAGTATATAATACAGATAACATATAAAATATGCATTAATTGATTGCTTATGTTCTAGGTAAGCTTTCTGGCCAACAGTAGGCTCTTAGTAGCTAAGTTTTGGGGGAGTCAAAAGTTACACTTGGATTTTTGACAGCACAGTGGGTCAGTGCCTCCTAACACCCGCATTGCTCAAGGGTCAGCTGTACTTCTCTTGGCCCGTTTCTTCTTTTGAAATACTTACAAAATTTTAATTAGAGACTATTTATTTCAAACAGGAAAAAAAATGGTCATCCCTACCGTCCATATCCAATAGATGTGGACATTTTGCCATTTCATTTCAGATCTTTTCTTTCCTTTTTAAAAGAAATAAACTTTTACAGGCACAGCCAAAGACCCAACTCCCCATCCCTCCTTTCTCCGCTCCTGCACCCAAGGTACCCACCGCCCTGAAGCTGGTGTGTGTTCCTCCTGTGTACTTTACCATCCTGTTTTAATATCAGGATGGATCCACCAACAATATACCCTATTGTTTAATGCCTTTTAAAAGATACACTATTAGGCTCCTACTGTTATCATTTTGCAACTTGCTTTCTCCATCATCATTGTTTCTGAGACTTCTCCATGCTGGTACACAGAGCTCTAGTTCATAAACCTTCACTCTTATCTAGCATCCATTATTGGAAGAAACCACACTGGGTGTTTTTACTCAGGCCTGGTATATTCTTACTTCTTTCCCCCTGCAGCCTTGAACCTTCAGCTCCTGTCTCCTCGTGCCAGGGTTGCTGTCTCTTCAAAGAAGTTTTGTTTACTTCTTCTCCCGCCCCCCCCCCCCCGCCATGAGCTGCAGCAAGACATACCTTTTACACTGGCTTCCAATACAAAAACTCTATGTGACATATAGAAATATATGTGACATCACAAAATTTGCAGGAAACTACGCTTACTACCTAACAGACTGTATTTCCAATTCTATCCTGTTTCTGTTTGGAAAAAGTGCTCATCACAACGCACTACCTTGGTTTCACGGTCCTTAAATGGTCATGATCCACAGTTTGAAAAACACGGGGTGTGCCGAAGGGGGTGTCCCCCCTCCCCCCTTAGCAGGCAGTGTCTAGCGGAGCACGGAGAGCTCAGGGGCCCTTGTCCCAGCACATGTTTCCAGTTGCCTCTTTCTGTTCATGTGCCTCTTTCACAACCTCCGGTCAGGCCCCATGTGGGGCTAAGGCCACGTTCCAGCTGACCTTCAGCTCCCGCACCCGGACAGTGTCAGCCCCCCCTGGAGCAGAGTCAGAGAGGGAGAGAGCACCTCCTTTTTGTCCCAACACCCGGCTGACCTGTCCTGGGACAGACTGTCCGGGTCTGGTGTCCTCAGCAGCTGCAGGCGTTGGGGGATCGGGGTGCACGGGGGTGATTCCCCGTCACTGCATGGTGTGATGTAAATGGAGGGCACCTCTAGGAACCTCCAGGGCTCACGGGCCAGGCCCTCTGCCCTGCCACCCTTTGGCTGCTGGCTCTGCCACTTGGCCCGGGGCACTGATGCATCCTCGGTGCTACCCTCAGCCAGTGGGGGCCAAGGCAGCTGGGGCAGGAGCTCGGCCATGGGGAGGGCTCCGCCTGCCCAGTAGGGGGCCGTGGATAATGGCACAGTCGCTGCAGGAGAAAAAAAGAGAAGTGAAGGGGAGAGGCCCTGTTTAATCCTGCTTCTCAACCACTCCCCCACCGCTCCTCTAAGAGGACAGCCGAGCTGAGGGTCAGAGAGGTCTGGATGAGATTCCCACCTCTGTCAGGGTCCTCTCTTCTGGACCCCGAGCCTCAGTTTCCTCTTCTGGAAACTGGAGATCCTGATGCTCACATCCTCTGGTGGCTGGGCGGCATTAAAGAGCTCTGACATGTGGGGTGCCCAGCCCAGGGCCCCGTACACAGTAAGTGCCCAGGGACCATCTGTTCATGCCCCTGGGGGGGTGGTTATTTTGAGCATTCGCCAAGGCCAAACCCTGGGTTTTCTATACACCAGTGACCCTAGCTCCCTTACACACACACACACACACACACACACACACACACACACTCACACATGCACGCGTGCACGCTCTCGCACAAGGCCTGGAAGGAGCTAGAGGCCTCCGGGCCTGGGTAACGGTGAGGAGACAGAATCCGGGATTTCCCTTCCCTGTTTGCTCAGCAGTTACCCCTCCCAGAGCAAACAAAGGGAGGGTGGCCAGCTGTGGCCTCCTCAGCAGGGAGGAAGCAAGGCCAGTTCTTGCACTATGGCTGTGGTATGACAAGCCACCTGGGTCCGGGGACATCAAATCGGTCTCTCTCTGTCCACACAGCAGAACACAGAAAGGGCTGCTTGGTGCCCGGCTGCCCAGGGAATAGGGAAGAAGGACCTGTGGGACCCGGAGAGGGTTTCTCCGGCTTGTGGAAGAGAACTGGACCCCGGGGCCCATCCCAGGCACCCCAACATCCATACCTTATGGTTTCCTCCTCCTGTCCCCACAGGGTTCCGACTTCCAGAGTAAGGACAAGAGACCAGGCCCTTCCCTCCCCCCAGGAGTCCTGGCTGGACCCAAGAGTCACAACCTTGCGTCCAGAATAGCACGTCCGGCTGGAGTCGTGTTCCCCTCTGACCAGCTGTTCCTGGGAGAAGAGATGGAGTGGGGGTGGGGGTACCCACCCCACAGCGGAGGCTAAGGTCAGCTAGCCTGCCTTTCCCTCTCAACTACCCTAAGCCTCTGCTGGCCCACCTCACCTGTTGGCCGGCAGCCAGTCACAATGTAGCTTCTGTCCATCCCCACTATTCCCCCAGAACCGCGCCTCCGCCCCCTAAGGGACCAAATCTGGGGCGTTTTCCAGTCCTCCTCTTCCTGCCCTGCTCTTAGAAGACACAACCTGGGAGACCCGTCACCCTTCTGGGAGGTTCTCTCTGCCTCTGGGATGCCCCAGTTTCCGGCTCTCCTCCTCCCTCACTGGCAGCACCAGCTGACGTTTTTATGAACAACCCTCTCCATTCCCTGGTCTGTAGAAACCGGTATTCTCCATGGCTTAGGTCTGGACACTATTCGTTTCCTTTCCCCTTTTTATTACATAATAATTGACACTTACAAAAAAGTGTCTGCATCACAGACTTGAGTTATAAAGCCTAACAAGGTGAGCCCCACAGCCCCCCACTCAATTTGAGAACCAGTACATCCCTGGTGAGTACCCCTGTGACTGCCTTAGGCCCCTCCCCACCCTACCCCACTTCCTTTCCAGAGCTCTCCATCACCCCTCACTTGACAGTTCTCATTCCCTCACATTTTTAGCCATTTTTTCAAATCCCGTTGGTATGCATCCCTAAATAATACATTTTTTTAGTTTTACTTGCTCTTGAGCTTTCTGCGAAGGAACCACACCATGTGGTGTCTGTGACTTGCTTTCCTCGCTCAGCGTGATTTCTAAGGTTCAGCCACACAGGGATAGTTACCTTCATCCAATTTTGCTACAACACTGCCTTCCCCTGGGGGAGCACCCCACCATTGCTGTATCTGTCTTCCCTGCCTGTGGACAGCAGGCTGTTTCTGGCTTTCTGCTCTGAGGAATAAAGCTGCCCTCTAAGGGGCACCTGGGTGGCTCAGTGGGTTAAAGCCTTTGCCTTCGGCTCAGGTCATGATCCCAGGGTCCTGGGATCAAGTACTCAGCAGGGAGCCTACTTCCCTTCCTTCTCTCTCTGCCTGCCTCTCTGCCTATTTTTGATCTCTGTCAAATAAATAAATAAAAATCTTTAAAAACAAAAAAAAAAGCTGCCCTCTAAGTTCCCGGATGTGTTTTTTGTGGGGCAACTCCCCAGTTAGCCAGCATCCCACTGATGGCCCATCCCCCCCCACCCTGGGCACGTGTGTCTCTAGGTGCTCAGGTCAGCTCTGTGGATCTTCCGTCCAGCCCTGAGTCTATGAGACGTTGCCATCATTACTTCAGCATTAAAGGAAATCTTGATGTCTGGTGAGCAGGGCTTCCTGTCTCGTTCCTCTTAGACCAGAGTCAGCTTGTCAAGTTCCAAGGGGAAAAAAACAAACAATGGGAACCTGATTGTCATGCTGTAACCAACAGTTGGTATCTTTGCAATATGGAGAGTTTTCCCGAATGCCCACATGGGGTCACTCTCCAAGAATGTAGGGAGGTTTTAATGTCACTGTCTGGGTGTTGAAGAATTTTTCTTAATTGTGGCAAGATACTCATAGAAGTTATCGCTGGAACCATTTCTAGGTGTGAGGTTCAGTGGCGTCAAGGAAACACAGCGTTGTTTCAGGTGTAGGCATCACCACCATGCGTCAAGTACTTTCTTTTTTCTTTTTTTTTTTTTTTTTATTTGTCAGAGAGAGAGAGAGGGAGAGAGAGCAAGCACAGGCAGACAGAATGGCAGGCAGAGGCAGAGGAAGAAGCAGGCTCCCTGATGAGCAAGGAGCCCGATGTGGGACTCGATCCCAGGACGCTGGGATCATGACCTGAGCCGAAGGCAGCTGCTTAACCAACTGAGCCACCCAGGCGTCCCACGTCAAGTACTTTCAAGAAAGAATTTTTCTTTGTAAAGTTCTTTCCTGTCTTTTTTCCCAGTTTTACTGAGACGTAACTGACATTGATGTGTACTGTGTAATTTAAGCTCTACACCTTGGAGGACTGACCTATATATTGTGAAATGATCCCCACACTCGGTTTGGCTAACGTCCTTCTTCTCAGAGAGACGGTAAAAAGAAAAGAGGGGCGTCTGGGTGGCTCAGTTGGGTAAGCGACTGACTCTTGATTTTGGCTCAGGTCATGATCTCAGGGCCGTGAGATCAGGCTCCACACTGGGCTCTGCACTGGGTGTGGAGCCTGCTTGAGGTTCTCTCTCTCCTGCTCTCCCTCTGCCCCTCCCCAGTTTGCATGCATGTGTGCACATGCTCTCTCTCTAAAAGAATAAAATAAAAATAAAATATAAATCCATGACTTAATATATAATTATAAAGGAAGAACCCACAGACCCACCACCCAGGCCAAAAAAAAAACATGTTGCCAGAACCCCCAGAAGCCATAAATGCCTTCCCAATCAAACCCCTTCTTCCTACAAAGAAAAGTACACCCTGACCTCTCTGAAAATCCCTTCCTTGGCTTCTCTTTAGCTTTACCACCTATGCACATATTCCCCAAAACCCTAGTTTCGTTTTGACTATTTCTGAACTTCATACAAATAGAATCACATACTCTGAGTTCTTTTGTATTTGGCTTCTTTCATTTGACATTATCTTTGTAAGTCATTCATCCTATTGTGTACAGCTGAAATTTGTTCATTTTTAATATCCTATACTGTTGATATGGTACTGATAAAATAAATTGTGGAAAATACCACTACTTACTTTATCAATTATGTTGATGGCTATTTGAGGGCTTCCCAGTTTGGGCTATTAAATATAGTGCTGCTGTGAACATTCGTTTATGTGTCTCCTTGCAGTCCTCTCTGTTGGACATAAAGAATCCATCCATCCATCCATCCATCCATCCATCCACCCATCTCTCCATCCATCCATCCATCCACCCGTCTCTCCATTCATCCATCCATCCATCCATCCATCCATCCATCCATCCATTCATCTATCCATCCATCCATCTACCTCCCCATCCATCCATCTCTCCATCCATCCATCCATCCATCCATCCATCCATGGGTGTCTCAGAGCTTCCTGAGTCTACTGGTCCATCCCTGTGCAAAACCCACACTACCTTAATTATATATACCTAATTATTCTAATTATATGTATAGTTTTACAATTAGTCTTGATATCTGGGTTGGAAAGTCCTCCTACCTTGCTCCTCTTCAAGAATCTCCTGCCTTTGTGTTAGATGCTTTCCTAACTATACATGATCCTCACTCATCAATTTGTATTTAGGAGTGGGGCCCAGTGTGAGGCTTAGCCTGTGGTTTGACACTGAAGGGGGAGCGGAAGATTGAAATAAAACGTTTTGCTGAAACACATGAAGAATTCTATTTAGGAGAACAGGTTGCAGATGTGCCTACAGAACCTCCAGATGGACAGGCCCAGTGGACAACTGGACAAACAGACATCAGGGCTGGCCTGGGCGTCCCAGGCATGTTGGTGGAGGTCACCCACCCCAAGACATCTAGCTGTCAAGATGTCCCCACCTCACCTGGTACCTCCGTTTCCAGAACCCACCCTTCTCCCCCTGCACAGGATTATGGTCTTCAAGAAACATCAAGGTCAGCTTAAGATTCTTTCTTAGGGGCTGAGCTGCGCGGGGAATTGGGCTCGCAGTCACCGTTGTTTTTACCTTTCCTGATCTCTGCCTTTGCAGGCAGATTTCCGAGTACAGTTCATGGTTGGTGTCCGGGCTGTGGAGAGAAAGAAACTCATTAGAACCTAATGTCCTTCGAAATGAGAGGGGCTGGTGTGTGGAAATGAAATCTCACATGGAGCAAGGCCACCTAAGAACACCCCACGTGAGGCCCCCTCCATGTTTCTCTATGCCAAAAGCTCTATGGTTGAAAACCACCTGCCTCTTGTCCATTATTTCTGCCTTCCCCTCATTCAGGGGAGTGGCAGGGTCATGAGACCGCCCATTGGAGTCTCCTTCCAGCTGGGATGGGATGGTGGGTTGGGGAGTC